GGGGGAAGCAGCTTTTTCTAAGGTGAGTGGTGGACAGAGAACAGGGAGGAGGCAGGAAGCAGGCTAGGCTTCCATTTCTGCCTGATGGAGGGCCGGAGGTGGGGGGGGGCAGTGGCAGCTGGGGAATGCCAGGATTTGGCCCAGTTTGGAGCAAGAAGGGGGCAAGGCGAGGCTGATTTAAAGGTTTGCACCAACCTTTCTCTGCTTGCAAAGCCCCGGAACAAGAGCCTGGGCCTCCTGCTCAGGCTGTCAGAGGATCCTGGAGTCAGAAGGAGCCTACACAGCCATCGCGTCCAACCCCCTGCTCAGTGCTCAGGTGAAAGCCTATCGAACGGTCTACCTTTCACTTGAATCACTTGAAGGGACCCTACGGACCATCGAGTCCGGCCTCAGTCAAGGAAGACACAGATTGGGGGGGGTTTGAATTCCCAACCTCTGGCTCCTCAGCCAGATAAACCACTGAGCTACCCAGGCAGCGCTCGGCCTCTCCAGATGTGTCGTCCTGCAGCTGGCGCTCACAAGACAGGCACTGAAGATGATGCAGAAGAAGGAAGGGAGAGCAAGCCAGAAGCTGTTTTTGACAGGAAGCCAAGCATGGGGCTGCCCCACGGTGGCGTGGCGCTGTGGGGAGGGATGGCGTGAGAGCTCCCTTCACAGGGGTCAAGGGGGTGCCGCGCCTGAGCCCTGCCATTCCTGGGACCCCATACAGAGGCCAAACCGTGGTGTCCGGAGATCTCGGGGTGGGGTGGGGGGCCATGTGCAGGGGCTTCACCTCCCAAGCCTCCGAAGGGCCTCCTTCTCCAGGGGCCTGGGGGAAGGGTTGGCTGGGGAGCTCCTGTATCACTTTGGGGTGGTTGGGAGGAGACATCGGGGTCTGGGGGGGGGTCAGTCACTCTTGCCTCTTCCTTCTCCTGTTGCTATTATGGGCAGGCAGCTCCCTTCAGACTTATGGCGACCCCATGAATGAGTGGGTCTCCCGAAGGGCCCGTCCTCCTCAGTAGCCTGGCTCAGCTCATGGGAACTCAAGCCTGTGGATTTCTTTAGGGAGTCAGTCCTTCTGGTATTCGGTCTTCCTCTTCTCTTGCTGCCTCCAGCTTTTCCCAGCATTGCTCTCTTTTCCAGAGAATCCTGCCTCCTCGTGATGTTCCCAAAGTTCCAGACCCCTGATCATCATCCTTGTCGCCCTCCTCTGAACATACAACCCAATTTGTCAGCATCCTTCTTAAAGTGCAGTGTCCAGAACTGGACACAGGATTCAGGGGGAGATCTAATCGGTGCCGACTAGAGGGGAAGGAGTACCTCATGGGATTTGGAAACCATACTTCTATTAAATGCAGCCTAAAATGGCATTTGCCTTTTTTGCAGCCACATCACACTCTAGGCTCATATTCAGCATATGATCTACTACGTCAGGGGGGTCTTTCTTGCTCGTAGTGTTGCTGAGCCAGGTTTCTCCCATCTTGTAACGGTGTGTTTCGTTTCTTTTTCCGAGGTGCAGTGCTTTGCACTTATCCCTGTTGAATCTCATTCTATTCTTTTCAGCCCAGTGTACAAGCCTATCCAGATCATTTTGAATTTTGATTCTGTCTTCCAGGGTATTAGCTATTCCATCCAATTTTGTGTAATCTGCAAATGTTATTAGTATTCCCTGCACCCCCTGACCCAGGTCATTAATAAAAGTTGAAGAGCATAGGGGCCAGGACTGAGCCCTGGGGTACCCCACTTGTTACTCCCACTCAGTTTGAAAATGAGTCATTAATCATAAAAATCATAGAAAAGTGAAGTTGGAAGGAGCCTACAAGGCCATCAAGTCCAACCCCCTGCTCAAGGCAGGAATACCATCAAAGCATATCTGCCAGATGATTATCCAAATTTTTCTTGAATGCTGCAGCCTTGGAGCACTTACCAACTCCTGAGGTAACTGGTTCCCTCATCATCCTCTGAGTACAATTCTGTAGCCAACTGTGTATCTATCTGACAGGTGTTCTATCCAGGCAACACCTAGTTAACTTGCTAATCAGAATATCATGGGGCACTTTGTCAAATGCTTTGCTGAAGTCAAGACATACTGTGTCTACAGCATTCCCTCTGTCCATTTTTCTAGCCCACTTTGCCCTCCAATTCAACTATACTGGTCCAGATCCAGCATCCAGCTTAGATTAGAGGGGGCACAGCTCATACCAGGTCAAATCAGGTCCTGATCTGAAACACAGAATTGGTGTCTAACCCTAACCCTCTGTCTGGCCCTAGTTCCCATCATCCACAAGGACTTTGCATAGATTTCTATACATGTTTGCACAATCTTCTTACTGTATTTTCCTTTCCTGCTCGTGTTCTTCCTATTAGCAGGTCCTTCTTTGGCCTTTGGCCTGCCCGCCTGCAGAGAGGAGGTGTACTATCACATTTGCTTTCTACACAAAGCCCGATTCAGCCAACAGCTCCAGCCCCCAGTGCAGGGCGCCACTCTGCACCAAGCCACGGTCTGCCAGGGGACGGGCTGGGCAGAAGGGCACCTTTGTCTACAATGTGTCACCCTCCTCACTCACGTCCTCCTCTCTGGGGGTGAAGGCATGGAGGAGTTGCCGGTCCACCTTGGGCCCTGCGCTTGCCTTCTTCGCTCCCTGCTTTGGCTCGGCCACTTCTTCCTGTGCCCCCTCCTGCCTCTGACCTTTTTAAGGGATCCAAGAGAGCCCCTGGCAGGGCTTTGCCCTCCCGGACTTGTGCAGGCCGGCAGAGAGCCTGGACCTGACAGGAGGCAGGCCCAGAGGAAAGGGCGATGGGCATTCACCCTCCTCCCGACATGGGGCCGGGGGCCCAGCACCCGTGTCAGCACAGATGGACACAGCCAGGAGACGCCTGCATTTTCGTTGGGGTAGGGAGGGCAGAGGCAAGGAGAGAGAGAGAGAGAGAGAGAGAGAAGGGGCATGGGAAAATGAGGGGCTGACTGCAGGAATTCAGGGCACTGCCGGTTCCCCTCAAACTTTATATGGGGCAAGGGAAGGGAGAGGAGGGCAAACCTGTGGCTCTCGGCCTTCTGCTCCCTCTAGACCTTTGCAAACAAAGGCCATTGCGACTACAGGCCCAGAAAGCTCCCTGCAAACTAGTTCAGCAGCAATCCTGGCTTCAGCAAAGCCTTTGACCAAAGGCCCTCCATGGTATTCTGATTAGCCAGCTAACTAGGTGTGGGCTGGAAAGAATTAACTATGAATTGGACACACCGTTGGTTACAGAATCATATTCAGAGAGTGCTGATCAATGACTCTTTCTCTAATTGGGAGAAGGTAACAAGTGGGGCTCCGTCCTGGGCTCGGTGCCCTTCAACCTTTTTAATTAATGACTTGGATGAGGGAATGCTTGTCAGATTTGCAGATGACACAAAAATTGGGTGGAATAGCTAAGACCTCAGAAAGCTGGAACAAAATTCAAAAAGAGCCGGATAGACTGGAGCCAGTGGGCTCGAAGCAACAGAATGAAACTGAACAGGGATTAAGGGCAACGTTCTTCACCTGGGGTGGGGTGGGGGGAACTCAACGCACAGTTACAAAGAGGGGAATGCTTGGTTCATGAATATTACAAGTGAGAAGGATCTTGGAATTTTTGTAGACTAGAAGCTGAATACGAGCCAACACTGCGATGTGGCTGCGAAAAAGACCTAGGTGATTTTAGGCTGCATTAACAGAAGTACAGTATAGAGTCTCCAATTCTGTGATGTACAAATTATCCTCTATTTGGCACTGATTAGGCTTCATCTGAGGACACGATCGTTGGATAGTGTCATCGAAGCGACCAACATGAACTTGACCCAACTCTGAGAGGCAGTGGAAGACAGGAGGGCCTGGCTTCACAAAGAGTCGGACACGACTAAACAACAACAACAAGGCTTCATCTAAACTACTGTGTCCACTTCTGGACACCACACTAAGAATCACCCATTTTATAAGCAGAGCAAATCCTGCAGTTTTTAACCATGTGCTTGCACTCCATTTCCTTGTGCAGGAAATGTGAAGGTCCTGCAGTTACTTTGGAATCTCTTTTCTTTGGAGTCAAGCAGGCAGACGGAACAATCCCTGTCAGTGTCTGCTTTATTCTTACCACATTTGTTGCTGAATGCTTGTTATGCTTTTGACTTTTGTCTGAAATAGCATCCCACCCACTGCTTTGGATTTATTTCTTCCGCTGGCTTGGAGAGCAGCTTTCAGTTTGCTTTCTAGTACCGCAGGTTTTTCGTCAAAGAATTCTTTTCAGAGGAAACTGGAGCCATGGCTTTTCTTCTGTATACTCCTTCAATACATTTGTTTCCTGAAGCTACGGAGCCTTTCTGCGTGGAGACAAACAGCTTTCTGGGAGTTGGATAGAGGGCGTGAGGTTGTCCCTTAAAAGTAATTTTGTTTTTTTGCAGAAGTGGGTCTCAACAGCGGAGACAATCCGGGTGTCTGAGGAGAAGCCCACCCCCATTTGCTCCCCTTTTTTGTGCCAGGCTCCTGGCTTCAGAGGGCCTCTGGCAGCGACAAAGACCGGAGGGGGAGGAAGACAAGCCAGGCCTTGTCCTTTTCTGCCAGCCGGTGCCAGCCACGGGCACTCTTGTCGGGCCAAGAGGGTTTTTCAGAGGCAACTTAAGCAACGGAGGAACCAAGGCTGAAGCTCTCGGGGCTGGCTGGGGGAGCATCTCCGGCATAGGCAAAGCCCCCCCCCCAACTCTGTGCCTTCCGGCTGCCGCCTTCTCCTTGGAGTGGGGGCAGCCGCCAGGAGAGGCTCCAGCCTGCTGACCCTCATCCTCGTCCATTCCTGTTAGGCCCCCCATACAGGAGGCCTAAGTAGGAGTGCCGTCGCTCCCATCGTGGACCCAAATTACCCAAACCTCACCCCCTCCTTCTCCACCCCGTCGTGAGGATAAGCAGGTTGATACTGAAGGATTAGGAGTGATCCCGGAAGAACCGGGAATCCAAGAGCTTGGGATAGATACCTGAGACTTGACTCAGGTGCTGAAGGAGTTAACCCTGACCCCAAAGGGGGAGAAGGTTTGGGGGGGGAAAGGGAGGGAGGAGATAGAGGCAGCCACCACTGGGGATAGAAGGGAGAAGCGGGAAGAGATCGCAGGCAGGCGGCTGGGAATGGACCTGGGTAGAAAAGATCCGTGGACCGACCGGCAAGCGGGAGCAGGTGAGGGTGCCGCATGAGGAGGCAGAGAGAAGGAGGAGACAAGGTTTGAGACCCCGACTATCCTATTGGGGGGAAACGGAGGCTAAGGACTGGAGGCGTAAGTTGCGAGAGGAGAGAGAGGCGGCGTTGAGGGAGATTGAAAGGAAAAAGGCATGGCATACTGTATGGAGGAATTGCGGAAGATGGGGGTCTACCCGCACCCTGGTTGGAGGGTCCCGGAGAAGAGTCGTCCTGGTGGGGCTGGAGCAGCGATGAAGAAACCCTTCCCTTGATTCTGCCCAACGATGGCATTCCCGAAGGTGGAGGACCAGCGAAGGCTATAACTGGTCCTTGGACAGTCAAAGAGACTTAACCCCTTTTTGGGAAGCTTATGGCCCCCCATGCGCCCCAGACCGCCGGAGGCGCAAGACAAGTTGAATGAGGTTAAGCAAACAGTTCCTGTTTAATGTTAATGTTCCGGAAGAGACTAACCCCTTTTTGGGACGCTTATGGACACCCTTGCGCCCCAGACCGCCGGAGGCGCAAGAGAAGTTGAATGAGGTCAAGCAAACAGTTCCTGTTAACGTTAATGTAATGATAAATGCTGAACCTGTTGGATTGTTAAACCCGTCTCAGCCTTTATTGAATGTGACTGACCCTCCAGTAAACGACCCCTCACAATTCCCCCGTCCCTTCCTGCCTGGGAGCACGTGCGCGCACACGCACACACACACACACAGACTGCCTTTTTTAGAAGTTCAAACGGGCCTAATTCACGCCAGCACCCCCAACTTCTCTCTCTGAAGGCTCTGAATTGTGGCTCTCCTCCAGGGACATATTTCGGCATCCTGCACTCTGCAGGGTCAGCGAGGTCAGCAGCCACTCGCAGGCGGGAAATTCAACTGGAGATGCAGGGAAGCAGAGTTTGCCGTTTCCAGCAAAAAACTACCCAGAAGGCTGGCTGCGAGCCCCCCTCCCCGTGGGCCACATGTGGGGCAGAAGGCCCAGGCTCTGCCCGCTACAGGCAGCTCTGGGGCAAGCGCCCAAGAGTGGGAGGCCAACAACCCCTGAACCTCACTCAATCCAACACAGGAAAAAGAAATGCGGAGGCGTGACACGGAGGGAGGGAGGGGAAGGGGGGGCACAGTGGCAGC